GAAAAACACGATTTTATGTGAACAATACTGTCAAAAGAGCCTCTCAGTCCCAGGGATGGCAGTGATGGAAAGGGAGTGAAGGAGTTCCTGAGTGAATGCTAAATTCTGATTTTGCCAGAAGAAATGACTGGGGGCTTGGATTAAATAATTACTCAAAGAAATTCCCTCCAAAGTCATGAAACACAGAATTTAGGGTACAGGCCACAGGACACATCATTTAAGAAAGTGGCAATTATACTAAGAAGATGAAGTAAAGAAGACTTTCTGGACCTTACCAAATATATACTGAAGAAAACTATGCCAGAAGCATACAACTCAGAATTAGCTCTTCATAAATCAATGCAAAACAAGTGAAGAAGAAACAAGTCAATGAAGGGAATAAAACTTTTTTTTTCAAAATGTCTAAAGAGAAAAATTGTAAATAAATTAATAAATGATCGTGCATGGTGCTTCTACCAAAAAAAGGCAAAGGAGAAAACAGTAGCAGTTACTAACTCAATATAAGTGCTTCCTTATGTCTATGAGATTTTTATTAAAGTTATCAGAAAGGATATTCTTGATGAAAAAAAATGGAAAAACAGACTTTTCCAAATGATTTTTTTTTACAATAGTTATCTTTCCAGTCAGACATTTGAGAGCATATTGATTGAAAGCAATATAGAAAACAAGATCTTATTGTGACTGTTGTTCATTGATTTTTAAAAATAATTTGCAGCCTTTGAAGGCTCCCCTCAAATAATTTCTTCTAAAAAAATACAAGGCATATATCAAAATTATAAGACTGACATATACAGCTTCAATTTTTAAAAATTTTAATAATTTTAATTTTTTTCTAATCCAGAATTTTAGTAATTTTAATAATCCAGAATATTAGCATCAAATGAGGTGTAAAAGCTGGAGACCAGGGCTAAGATGATGATAAAAATGATAAAATTAACACGTGACAATTATAATAGTACTTTTGACTCTTCACATCATTATCTTCAGTGGCACTCTGGTGGTATGTATGATGCTATCCAGTAAAAAAAAAAATACTTTAAAGGGAAGGTCAAGGGGAACTTCCCTTTCTCTAGTCACATGACTCCCCTAGAAAGGCCTCTTTGGCCTTTTTGTTTGTTCTGTTTCATTCTAAGTACAGGGGGGCAGTGAGGGGTATACTTGATCTTGGGAGTTTCAATGGCTAGGAAAGTCAGCCACCGAATCCAGGAATTATGAACCAGGCCAGGTTTTGTAGCCAGCTCAAAATTGATGCCACAAGGAGTAAGGAGTGATTAATAATATTGAGTGAGATCACTGCAAGTAGTAACATTTGGGACCTGAGCCTTATAGAACTCATCTGGAAGTGATGCCTTTGGATGCAAATTTGGTGGAACCAATGCTATATAAGAACGCAGCTAAATTCTGGGCTTAATCTTTCCCCCCACTCCTCATCTCTGAAGACCAATGAGGTATATGAGGAGATTATACCCTGAGATAGTAGGGAGAAATATTTGTATGTTTGTTCTAGGCATATTTTTGAAGTGAATATTTCTTTGTAAAAGACAAACTGATATAGATATCTGTCTATTTGTTTATAAAACTTGAAGGTTTGAGAAACACTTCACAAAAAACTCATTTGATTTTGACCACAACTCTGTAGAGTACATATTACAAATATTGTCCCAATTTTACAGATAAGAAAATTGAGGCTCAGATTTGAATATGATTACACAATTTATGTCAATAGCAAGATTACAACTCAAGTTTTTGGGTCCAGCACTCTTTCCACTATGTAATACTGTTTTTCATAGATGATGCTTGCCAATTTCAAGGAACATGTCCAGCAAAAGTACAAATGAATTACCTGCATACAAAGTTTGTATTTATAAATTGACTCTGTACATCAAGCACCATATTACAAAATTCTCCTTAGAGAGAATCACAGTAATGTGAAAGAGACTGGACTAATAAACCACAATAGAGAATAAAATAAATGAAAACCACACACTGCCAATGACTTTCAGTTTGGTGGGCAGCCTGTAAAGTCAGTAAAACAATGTATCTACAGACATCAGCATTGCAGATGGACCCAATATTGAATAGTGAGAAATGGTCAGGCTACATCAAATCTGAGGAATCATACAGTACTTAAAATTATTTCAAATAGTTTGGTGCCACAAAATTCCATCTATTTAACACCACTATTTTCCTAATGACAATATAGCTATGCATTATGGAACAACATAATCTCAGAAAGAACAATGGAAAGATTCATAACAGTTACAAAATATAAAATTTAAAAAGTATAGTGGAAAGAATACTGGATTTGTAGTCAAAAAGACTTGAACTCTAAAACCAAATGAACTTGAATGAAAGACATTATTTGAATACACATATGGCTAGAAAAAGATAGGGTAAATAAAAGAGAGTGAGAAACAACAGATGAGAAGCCAGAAATGCAACACACTGGTATTTCAATATACTGAAACACCAAAGGAACAGTTCAATTCTGTTGGATAAATCCTTCACTGAAGATCTGTGGGTAAGCATGCACAAGAGTTGAAAAGGATGGGATAGCTTCTAGGTCATAAAAATGGGAAAAGGTCCCCCACATACAAAAAATATTTATAGCACCTCTTTTTGTGGTGGTCAAGAATTGGAAAATTGAGGGGATGCCCATCAATTGGGGAATGGCTGAACAAGTTGTGGTATATGAATGTAATGGAATACTATTGTTCCATAAGAAATGATGAGCAGGCAGATTTCAGAAAAACCTGGAAAGACTTAAATGAACTGATGCTGAGTGAAGTGAGCAGAACCAGAAGAACTTTGTACACAGTAACAGCCACACTGTGGGATGACTAACTTTCATAGACTTGGCTCATTTCAGCAATGCAAAGATCTAAGACAACTCCAAAAGACTCATGATGGAAAATGCTATCCACATCCAGAGAAAGCACAATGGAGTCTGAATGCAGATTGAAGAACACTATTTGATCTCTTTTTTCTTTTGTTGTTTTGTTTCTTCTTTTTCATTGGAAAAAAAAATGTTTTTAAAGAAAAGGATGGGATAATATGTAGGGGTTTTGATCTCTATCAGTAGAAAGATTCCCCCATTCAGATGAAATCATAAATACTTACAAATAAGGATATATGAGAAGTTACATATATACATATAGAAGATTCCAGATGTATACAATGATAAAAGAAGAATAAATTAATCTTCATATGAAACCCCATAACTATATAAAAGATAAGGGCTATGCTGCCAGTGACATAAAATATTTGTCCTAAATATTTGGGAACCTTAAGGTACTTGCATTAAAATTACTAATGATGTACATAGACATTACTTTTAAAATTTGCTAATGCTATTCATACAAATTCACAATAAGCAAATTTCAGAGGGGCCCTAAAATTTTATATGTAGTAAAAAAAAAAAGTTCATATTTGAAAAAGGCTATAAAGTTTCTTTAATTTTTTGCCCAGATGGTCACTTATTATAACAAAAAAAATCAATTTATATTTTGATAGGCTTTATAGCTTTCAAAGTACTAGCTACATTAAATGATTTAATCCTCACAATAACCCAACTAAAACAGAAGGTAGGTTTCATATCTACTTTCTATATCCATTTCTATAGATGAAGGAACTGAGGTTTTAAATGCTAAGTGACTTTCTCCAAGATCCCGAAGGTAGTAGAGGCATTCCCCAAGTCTTCTGCCTCTAAATTCAGTACTGTTTTTCCTGGTTTTCCTCTTCCTAACATGATATACCCTAGGAATTCCTTCTCAAAGAATGTAGTTACAATCTAATATGGTTGAATTTGAAACCTGACTAAGAAACAGTATCCTTCCTAATTCCAACATTAAACATTATATTGTTATTTGCGTTTCTTTGGCAACCATTTCCCCAAATTAGAATTAAATATATCAAAAAGCAAACAAATATGCAAAATGTTATATTTGCATATTTTTTCTTCAAAATCTATGCTACAGCTTCATACTTTATTAATCACCAGACCAGAATGACATCAACAAGGAAGACAGATGCAAAGGAACAGACAATATATATTACATACAATAAATATTCATTTGTGAAACTGCAGCATAAAAAAAAATAATCATTTGAAATCTGAAAACAGCAAAAATAGTTATACCATGAACAATGGTCATACCATACTTATGGGTCCATGAGAAAAATACCATCCAAACAAATCTGTCTTTTAAATTTTAACACAAAATCAAATTAATATGAAAATAATTAGTGTTTAATTAAATTTTTACATTTAAATTTTAAAAGATAATTAATCTTTATTTAAAAAAGTTGCATACCCAAAGCTAAGCTGGAAGTCTATAAATGTAACTGGTCTATTTGAACTGTGGATGTGGATGCTAAAGCAGATGCAGAGAAAATATAAATTATTATGTTAATATTAATATTATATTGATTAATAACACTGCTATTAAACACCTAAGGCTGGATTTGAATTCAAGTCTTCCTGACCCCATGTGCAATGCTCTACCCACTATGCCAACTATTCCTCCCACTTGATTTTGAATACTTAGAATGAAGTGTCTTAGAAATCACCTTTGTTTCAACATTGTACGAGGAAATGACAATTTGGAAGGGCAGTGGAAGTCATCCAATCCATCTTGGTTAATATTATTATGTATATTATTAATATTAGTATGTACAATATAATTATTGTGTATAACATAACATTAATATTATTGCGTATAATAATTATGTATAAACTACCACAATATTAATGGAAAGGAACTGCTAACTATGATCCTTGGATGCACCATTCCATACAGTATTAGGGTGGAATTTTGCTTTTCTACTCTTCCATTTAACAGCTCATCCCAAAGTGTAAAATCTAGGAGATGAGGATAACAGCGCCATCTAGGAAGGTAAGATGAGCACCTTTAAGCACCTTGGCCTCAGAAAAGAAATAGCAGGAGGCAAAGGACTTGGAGAGGCAATCCTTAAATCACTATCATCGCATCATTGCATTATAATGGAAATTTCAGGGATTTATAAATGTGAAGCTACTCAACACAAACGCTTTTTATTTCATTTCTTTACCTCCCCACCAAAAATGGCTTTAATATGAAAGGGTTTTAGGGGCGAAGGAGGGAATGCTTCATCAAGACTTCTCCGAGGTATGCATCTCTAAAATGTGGGTGGGGAGAGAAATGAAAAATCCCTTCCAAATTTCAATCCAGAGCTCTCTACCAATTAAGTTCTTCCAGGGCCTTACAAAAGAGCCCATTTAAACCAATGCATAAGGGAGGGTAGAAAATAATATTGCCTAGATTAGCTGGAAAACGATCCTGCAGATCCCAGCACAACGAATTGACATAGAGACTTCTTATCCAAAATCGGCTTCTCTGTCCCTCCTCCAAAACTAACCCTCCTCCTGCAAAGAAAGCAGCCGTGGAAGATGGAGCTCTAGAAGAGAATGTCATTGCCACACCCTCCCCACGACACCCTCTTGTCTCCTAACCTCTCAAATTAGTATGGATTTTGTAGGGCTCTGGAAGCCCCAAGACAAGACAAGAACACAGGAGCGCCGCACAAAGGCACATACTAGTCCAACCCAAGATCCGTCAGCCAGGCCAAGAAACCAGCCCCTGGCAGCTTTTTTTTTTTTTTTTTTTAAAGCTGCTTCCCGTTGCAACCCTAAGCAGTGCGACGCGGCGCTGGTGTGTACATAGAGCAAACCAGGGAAATCCAGGAGTTACTCTGCTGAAATCCAGCCGGGTTTTGACTCCGATCTCCAACTGTTCCCCTTCAACTCAGAGAATGTAACAAAGAACAGTCGGCATGGCGGATGGACTGGGGACCGTGTGTTGAGTGCAAGTCAACCCCGTGGGGCTAGAGAGAAGGAGGGGAGGGAGGGAGGATTCCCTCCCCTCCCTCTCATGGTGGGCCCCTGGGGACACTCGGGTGCTCACTGGGGGTGCCGGTGAACCGGGCAAGGACAGGGGTGCGCGGGGCTGGAGGTAGCAGCGCGTGCAGGGGGTGGTCGGGGGGGCGGGGGGGTTACCTGCCTTTGGAATGTGCAGACCGGGATCGGATCCGGACTCCAGGTTGCGATCCGCTCCGGAAACTACGCAGCACCGGAAACCGAGAGGGCGGAAAAGGCATCTTGGGAGTTGTAGTATGCTATGATTGGCTCGCATGTATCACTTATACTGCTCTCAGACACCCGGATCCAGTCTCTTCCTGAGTTCTTCTCGGAACGGGGTTGCCGGAATTGTGTAGCCAGTGCACTAGATGTGTTGGGGTGGGAGAGGAGGGTTTGGACTCTTAACTCTCGAGGGCTAAGAGGACCAAGAAGGGGGTGCCCATAGCGTTTTTTTCTGGCAGGTGTGTCCTGCAAAGTAGTGCGTTCACCTGTTCAGTCTGAGAGGTCACGTGGGCGCGCGAGCTCTCTCTCCCTCTCTCCCCCTCCCCCCTTCCTCTCCCTCTCTCCCTCTCCCTCTCTCCCTCCCCCTCCCTCACTTCCTCTCCCTCCCCCTCTCCCTCTCTCTCCCTCCCCCCTCTCCCTCTCTCTCTCCTCTCCTCTCTCCTCTCTCTTCTCTCCCCCTTTCTCTCTCTCTCCCTCTCCCCCTCTTTCCCTCTTTCCCTCTCCCTCTCTTCCCTCCCCTTCTTTCCCTCCCCCCCTCCCCCATCTCTCTGTCTCCTCTTTCCCTCCCACCTCCCCCTCTCCCTCTCCCCCTCCCCTCTTTCTCTCTCCCTCCATCTCTCCCCCTCCTCCTTCATTCAGGACGGGGACGCGCAGAGGGGCCCCCTCTTTTCTCTTGGGGAGCTGGGGCTGGAAGGTGGATCGGAGTGCCCCGAATGGCGCCCTGTCTAGACGGTTCCGAGTCGGGGGCCCCAAGCGGATGCACGTTTCGTCGCAGCCCTGCTGTCACTGGGCCTCTCAGTGGTTCCATGAAGGAAAATACGACAAATTCCCCTTCCCTGTTAAATTAATGGCATACTCTGGTCGTAGTATTAGAAGGGAAAGGGAAGATTGTCGACACGATTGTAGCTATAAGGTTAACGACTTCCCTTTCTCTAATTTAGGGAGTTTGGTCATCTTTTAAGGTACTTAATAAGTTTTTGATTTACAGTTTCATAAATTGGCTATATCTTTTGACCATTTCTCTAGTGGGGAAAGGTGAGCATTCATTGTTTAAAAAAATAATAGCAATCCAGCCACAAACCTAATTTGTTGTGCCTATGTTCTTCCAAAATACAGGATGTTCCAAAAGTCTGGGTGCTGGGAAACACAGCATGTGATTTCCTGTAGACTTCAAAATCAGACTGAAAATATTTTGTAAGTAAAACTATTTGATCAAAATATGTCTTAAAAAGTCATTTTACTAAATATTAAGTTTTCTCAAATTTTGAATGGCAGGGGAAAAAAGACAAAGCAGAACAAAGTGTAAATAGGAAGTGAAAACATTGTTCTATAAAATAAAGTACCAAATCCTGAACTCCCACAAAGAATATTTAAAAACTATTCTTTAAGGTCCTATACATTAGGGTATTTTAGACTAAAACATCTTCTTTGTAAGTGAAGGTATAACTGAAAGATGCTTTAAAGTGACAAGATAATGAATTCCAGGGAACTAAAGACATTCTCATGGATATATATTTTTAAAAAGAATTTTGACATCTTTCTTCAGTCAATAAAATTTATTAAATGCCCACTATGTGCCAGGCACTTTGCTAATTCCTGGGATACAAAGATGAGGGAGAAAAAACAATTCTTCCCTTCAAGGAGTTCACAATCTAATGAAGGGAGATAACATGAAAAGGTCTATATACCAACAATAAATAAATAAATGGAATAAATGGGAGATAATCACAGAGATAAGGCCCTATCAGAAAGAATCAGCAAAAGCTTTTTCTAGAACACTGGTTTTAGTTGCTACTTGAAGGAAGCCAGGAGGTGAAGTAAGGAGGAAGAATATTCCAGGCATAGGGGACAACCAGTGAAAATGCAAGGAGGTATCTTCCCCGAAAAATAGCAAGGAAGCTAGTGGCAAGTCAAGTCGACAGGCATTTTTTAAGTGCCTGTTATGTGCCAGGCCCACTACTAAACACTGGATGGCAGAGCACATGAAGGGGAGTAAGGTGTAAGAATCCTGGAAAAGGAGAAAGGGATCAGTTTCTAAAGGGCTTTAAAAGCCAAACAGAGGAGTTTATATTCAGTCTTGGAGGTAATAGAGAGCCAATGGGGTTTATTGAATAAGCAGGTAACATGGTCAGACCTGTGCTTTAGGAAGATTGCTTTGAAGCTGAGAGATTTGAGGCTAGGAAGCCAATGAAAAGGCTGCTGCAGTCCAGGTAGTAGATGATAAGGGCCTGCAGGAGACTAGAAGCTGTGTCAGATGAGAGAAGGGGGCACACGGAGAGATGTTACAAAAGGTAAAACCAACAGGCCTGGGCAACAAATTGGATATGGAAGATGAGAAAGATCAAGGAGTTGTGGATGACACCTAGGTTGGGAACTTTGTTTTCTGGGAGGATGGTAGTACCAAGGACAGTTATAGGGAAGTTAGGACATATTGAGTTTTAAGATACCGTTAAGATAACAGGATGTCCGTTTCCAGCTGTCCATTAAGCAGCTAGAGATACAAGACTTGAGGTCAGGAGAGAGGGTTGGGCTGGGTAAGTTAGGAGACTGAGGAGACAGGAAGAGAACCAATATACAGCAGTGTTATAAAAGCCTAGACTATCAGAGAGAAGAGGGTGATAAACAGTGTAAGAAGCTGCAGAAAGGTTAAGAAGGATGACTGGAGAAAAGGCCATTCGATTTAGCAATCACTGAGAATTTTGGAGACAGCAGTTTTGGTTGAATGATAAGGGTGAAAGCCATCGATTATAGACAGCCTTCTTGAGTTGAGCCACAAAAAAGAGGAGAGATACAGGATAATAGCTAGTAGGATCAAGTGAGTTTTGGGGGGATCAGGCAGATATGGGCATTTTTGTAGCTACTAAAGAAGTGACCAGAGACTGAAGATTAGAGAGTGGGGATGATAGCCTCTTAAGCCATAATTTTTATGTTGATAAATTTTATCAATATTATTAAATTCATTACGAAAATATGTAGAATATATAAGAAGATTTAGTTAAGAGAATATGGGGTACTTCATCATATTACATACTTTTTTTTTGTGAGGCAATTGGGGTTAAGTGACTTGCCCAGAGTCACATGGCTAGTAGGTGTCAAGTGTCTAAGGCCAGATTTGAACTCAGGTCCTCCTGACTGACTCCAAGGCTGGAGCTCTATCCATTGTGCCACCTAGCTGCCCCCTCAAAACATTCTAAGAAAGAAAACCAGACCTAAAGAAATTGTTAGTCTCTCAAACATCCCAGACAATAAAGCAAGGTGTCACTACAGCAAAAAGCCCTCTGTGCAGCAACATCCCTCTATGTCTTCTAGGCTGGAAATGCAGATGTTACTCACTGATTTGATGGCACTACTAATGAACGTGAAAGTTTTGACCTGTTATGTTTCTGACCTGGGCTGGTTCACTCCTGTTTGCAGCCTGTTTGCATTTCTCTCCTTCTTCATAATAGACATGACCAAAGCAGTATTATTTATGACTCCTATTTTCTCTTTTCAAGTTTTCTTAGCCAGTATTCTACATTAGGAAATTATTAATTAAATGCTACGATGGCAATATTAGCTTTTTGTATAGTTGAGAAAAATGCAAACACTAATTTTTAAAAACAACATTTGCAAATATGCCCAAAATAAACTTAGAAAATGTTTAGCATGATGTATGCCTATGTTAAGTAACTGCAAAACTTATCAAGTAATATGGATAATATCAAAGGAAAATATTCTTGTACATTTTTGAGTTTTATTTTATATTCTCATAGTTCTATTTTTATTTCCTAAATATGTATCTTTTTCTTTTTCTGTCTACCCTCAGGGCCTATTTTAATATATCAGTCTGAAAAAATAAATATTAAGCCCTCTAAACAAAATGTCAAATGTCAAATAGAGCTTTCCCTTTATAATGAAATTCAGAGATCTAGCAAAATAGCACTTTTTAAAGTACACAGTTGTATCTCTATATTCAAATCTTTTAATGTTGCTTCATAAATATCTGATCAGTTGATATACATGTCACAAAATAAGTTAACACAGAGCTTTATAAAGAGAGATCCACTGAGAAGACATTCAATTCACTCTTGCTCCTGTGCATGGAAAGCAAATTCTTATTAAAAGTTTTTGTTGTCTTTGTTGATTTTCTGTGAATCTCATCAGGGTGCTGCAGGAATATAAGGTCATTATATGATCGGCTCATTCCAGGATCTTTTTGATGATGCCATGGATGGAAGACTTTTGCTCCCTTTCTTAAAAATTCTACCTGAAAACAGCAAAAAGTGTTTTTATTTATGTGGCGAATGAGACAGACCTAAAATATGAATCTCTTTTTCAATGGAAGCTGAAATAGGAAATAAAATAACTTTAAAGAAAAGATTAGTATGTCTACCGAATTTACTACTTACCTATATGCATGTGTTCTGGGATAGGTTTAACTTAGGCCAGTCTTCCTTTAGCTTGAGTCCAACATTGGAACAAATGAGATACTTGTAACTCATTTAACAGTTAGCAAAGGGAAATTTAATTTGCCATAACCAGGTAAGGATATTCAACAAGTATATGCATTAAAGACACCTTGAGATGATTCAGCTGAGCAAAGCTCCCTTGCCTCTGAGTGGTCAACCAGCCAAGTATAAATTACTCCTGGCTATTTTTTTACTCAAAAGACTAAGAAGTTATGTCAACAATCTAGACCTTTAGCCTCCAAAGTCAAATAAGTCTCAAGAGCTGTTTTAATACCTATTAAGAAAAAATCTGCTTACCTTATAGGGGAGCAAAGGGTTAGGAGATTCCTCTGACCATATTACACAACCACTTCTGGTATTTGACAAGCAAAAAGCGGGTGGGGGGGGGGATTCCATGTTGAAAAATAATATAAAAAGGAGAACAATAATCTTAAAATATCATTGTCAAATATTTTTTAATTTTGCATCTGTAAATATTAGTGTGTACATGATTATGTGTGTGTGTTTGTATTCTGCCTTTAGAGTATTTACTACTATAGTACCAGTAGTACCCAATGGAGCACTAAAAGGCCCTGGACTTTCCCAGGCATTCCCTGGGGCACCCGGCCCTTTCCAGTTCTTGCATTGTGGCTTTGACTCTGCCCCAATCTCCAGTTGTCTGTTACCCCTGACAGTAGCCCAGTCCTTCACTGTCTGTTACCTCTGGATTGCCCCTGGCCACTTCCCACCCTTAATTCCATCTACTCCTTCTGTTACTTCCCAGTCACCCCAAGACTACTTGGCTACTCCTAAACCACATCCAGATCTTCCCAATCTTCTATATAAAAGGTCCATCTTGCCTCCATTAAAGGGCTCAGATTCCTTAAGAGCCTGGCCTGCTTATCAATACAAGTGTCACCAAATAGCACAGATGCTTAAAACCTTGCCCACCTCAATCGGTGTTGTGTGGTACAGCGACTCTAACACAATTAAACTCAGAGACTTCTCAAGGAAGCAAAAATTACTCTTTATTACAATCTCGAGAGAAGGGGCGTCTACTCCTCCAGTACACTACCAGCAGGAGAGAGGTGAAGCACAAAGGACAAAGCAAGGTTATGTATCTTAACGCAAACAAGAAACTCCCACCCCGCCACTATCCCTTACTCCCATTGGCTGGGAGGCGGGCTTACATTCTACGCCCAAAAATCTTTCCCATTCCCAAAGAGCAAGGAAACAGGGTATAGCCAATCCAAACATACATGTCCTTATTTAGTATACCTAATGCTGACGTGGCAGTGGCAATCAGGAGAGGGTTTAGGGCCAAATTAAACTTATGGCCTGTTGGTTCTCTCAGAGCCTATCTCTAGTTTTGAGACACTCTTCTCATCACCACCCTGAGAAGTCTTCACAGAGGTTATATCTCATTCAGTGTTTTAATAAACCCTGTCTCTGACTGAAAGAAGGCTTGAGTCAAATTCATTTGAGGCAGGACCCACATCTGCCCTTGAATTTCAGGGTTCCCAATGATGAGGTTGGGATCTGGACCCCAGAAAGGAAAAACCCTAGACTTTCCCACGTAGCCAAATCTCTGGAGTTTGTCTTCATTGTGGCTACACCCAATCTCCCAATTACCCTTAATTTAGCCTAGCCCTCCATTGTTTTACCTCCCTAAGGCCCCAGGCTGCTTCCCACCCTTAATCCTATCTAGGCTCAGACTACTTGGCCACTCCTAGAGCCCTCCCATAGCCTTTCTATATATAAGGTCCTTCTTGTCTCCATTAAGGTGCTCAGGTTCTTATAATCTCGCTAATAGTTTACTAATGTTCAGATTCCTTAAGAGTCTGCCCAATATGACCAATGTTCTAATAAACCTTGTCTTTGGCTGAAAGAAGGCTTGGGTCAAATTCTTTTGGACAGGACCCGTGTGTCGTGATTTTGGGGTTCTAGCACCCCTGAACCCCTAAACCTCAACATTTTGGTGGCCCATACGGGGAAACTGCCTAATCCCCAGTTCTTCTCCAGCCAAGACTGGAAGGTATGTAAGCCTCTCCCCTCCCCCGCCCCCTTTTCTTGCTTTAGAGTTGAGGTTGCTCTCTAAGCACCAAGGCTTGGCGGTGCTTTTCAGGCAGACAGTTTCGAGGCTATTTCAAACTCGGCCTGACGCTCCCAGGCTCTCGGTCCACAGGTCTGTTCAAGGCCATGGACCTAGGTACACCTTCAGCAGCACAGAGGACTGACGCCCTATCTAGAAGTGTATGCCCAATTCTGTCAATTCTCTCTGTGCTAGTGAATTGGGGAAAACTGCAGTTGCTTTTTGGTCCCCTGAGGCTTACTTACTCCCTTCTACACTCCTGAATCCTCCTTCTTGGAGGTTACAGGGAAAAGTTAGAACAGCTAAAAATATTTTGGCAGATTCTAGAGGTTTTGTGATTGATCATTAAGGAATTTTGAAACTCCTCCTTACAACTCTGGTCACTCCTTTCTCCCACTCCCTTCCCTTGAGTCAAGAGGTATCTGTTAACCCCTCTCATAGGAGAAGAGAGTTTCACCCTTTACCCCTCACCTTTGATTTTACCCTCCCCCACCTGGGAAAGGAAGGAGGGGGGAGGGGCAGCAGCTCCAGCATGGGCCCCCCTGGCAATGGCCTTGGGCCCTAGAGCAACCTTTGCCTGGAAGCATCACCCAGGTTCAGCACATCCTGCTCAAGGTAATGAAGCTAGCCTCTGAACTTGGGTAAGCAAACTCTTTTAAATTTATAGTTTTAACTGTTAATGATGAGATGTTGATTCTCTGTATAAAGTAATTTGGAAATGCATTTAACAAAACTGAAGTCATCTGATTGGTAATGGGTTTGTTTCAAGTTTGAAATTGGTGAAGCAATTTTTCATAATTTGGTTAATGCTAAAATAATTTAGCTATTATTGGTTATTGTTTTAATGTGTAAACTAGTCAAAAAGGCTTATTTGGGTTATATATGGCTTGCTGAGAATTTGAAATGTCTAATGATTGGCTTTTTACACCAGGACAAATTTAAGTTTGAGATGTAAATCCTGGAAAAGTTTTTCCTAAGCTGTGATTAGTGAAACTTGCTGTTTGAGGTAAAAGCTCATAGGATTTTATTTTGAGTTGTTTGATGGATCATAATCCATCGATAATCAATAATCCACCATATGAGAAAAATGCCACAAGTTACTCAGAGAGAATGTGATACTGGTGGGAAGTCAGCATTGGGAAAAGCTGAGAGTACAATTTTAACCTCAGTCTAAGATGGTATCCTCCTGGCTCAGTTTCTCTATTATGTTCCTTTGAAAAGGAATGTTACCCACCTGGTTATTCCCGAGTCTGGCTATGAGGTAGATTTGATACTGCATGGTTGGAAAACTGAATTTTTCTAAATCCAAACAGAGCTAAAGATGTTTTATCCTGTCATTTGGGCCCTGTAGTCTTTTTTGTTAGATTTGTGTCTTCTAGACGACAGGCCATTCACCTACAGTTGGTAGCAAACAGTGGGTACCCGCCAGTGTCCTCCCTGTGCTCGGTTCCAGTCAACCTCCTCTTTGGGACCCCCCCAAAGGCAGGAACAGCTATGCCCCTTGCCAGCAGGAAGCAATTTCAGAAGCCAAGACCTTCGCCCCTTACCCCAAAAGAATTTGGGTCCCATTTGTTTGAGAGGGAAATGATGAGGATGGGATCTGGACCCCAAAAAGGAAAAACCCTGGACTTTTCCACATGGCCAAATCTCTGGCATTCACCTGAGGCTATAATCCTGTCAACTGGTCTTTCATTGTGGTTCCACCCAATCTCCCAATTCTATTCTGTTACCTCCTGATTGTCCCTGGCCATTTCCCACCCTTAATCCTATCTAGACTGTATTCTCCCTTTGCCAAGTGGTCCAGGTCCCAGGCCTTCTGTTCACCCCAGCTTACTGGCCACTACCATCCAGATCTTCCTTAGAACCCTCCTCCAGTCACCCCAAACTACTTGGCCACTCCTAGATCCCTCTCAGTCTTTCTGTATATAAGGTCCATCTTGTTTCCATTAAGGTGCTCAGATTCTTAAAATCTAGCCAAAGACTGAGATTCTTAAAATCCAGTCACTGCTCAGATTCTTAAGATCTGGCCCACTTACATTAGCAATACAACTGCTTAGATTTCTTAAGAGTCTACCCAATATGATGGATGTTCTAATAAACCTTGTTTTTGGCTAAAAAAAAAAGAAAAAAAAAGAGAAACAATATAAGGACACTCTCAAGGTCTCTCTGAAGAACTTTGGAATCAATTTTGAGACATGGGAGACCCTGGCACATGACTGCCCAGCATGGCATGCCAGCAAAGAAGGGACTGTGCTCTATGAGTGAAGCAGAATTGCAGTAGCTCAAAAGAAAGGTGAAACGTCCAAACTTAGAGCCATCTCCAATGTTCTTATAGACTATTTGTGCCTGACCTGTGATAGAGCCTTCCTAGCTCATATTGGTCTGATCAGTCATAGTTCAGACACACTGTACCTTGACCCCAACATAATTAAATCATTTTGATACTCTTCAAGCATGAAGGACAACAACCAGCCAAGTGCTGGGGAGCCCAAGGAGGGGGCTGGGCATGGCAAGGGATTATTATGGAGGATTACAGCAGAGGAAAGGGCAGAGGAGAGGGGTACAATTTTCCAAAGGCTAGGCTGCAGGTAGAGGGGGTTGGGACATCCTGTGGTTTGACCAAGTAGATTCTTTTGCATAACAACCCAAAGTCCATCAAGAAAGCTTGGGAATCTCAGGAGGGAAGAGTTAAGTATTTACAAAATAATCAGAG